TTCAACACTACGGTGTGCAGTGCTCAATTCTCTATCAACTCATTCAACAGCTGGCTATATGACTTTGCCTACATATGTAAGGTGATCCACAACGGAAAACTCAGTGAGGCGTTCTAAGAGAACACAAGAGTAAGACAAGGCTACCTGCCTATTATCACAAGTGATATTCTTAATTGTGGTAGACTGGATTGTGCGTCAGACTGTGTGTGGTGAGTGAGAAGACAAAAATGCGTTGAACCACCCATAAGAAGACTGTGGAAGATCTAGATTTCGCGTGTAGATATTTATGTTTAGTGTCACACAAACTTGAAGACTTCCAGGCAGGCGAAAACCCAAAACACTGGCTGTATAAGCAGCCAGAGAGGACAAGCCTCCAAGGGAACGTACAGAACATAGAGGTGATGCAGACAACCAAAGAATAGCAACAATGACAAAAACCAGCACAAATCACCATCAACGGGAGAGATTTGAAAGTGGTCACCTCTTTCATCTATCTGGCCACAAAGCACGGTTTCAACCACAGCCAGTCGGATGCCACAAATGAAGATGTAAGAGTTAGCCAACCAGCCAGAATCTGAAAAGCGAGACAAGATACGCCTTCATCAACCTGAAACTAGTTTGAAATCTTCTGCTTCACTAAACCAATAGGAAGAACAAGATTCTCATTTTCAACACAAATGTAGATTCACTCAGTCAGTCAGTTATTTTATGCGGGTCAAAAACTTTACCAGCGTGTCATGAAAAGCATTTCCGAAAAGCCACTTCTGGCTCCTATCAACGGCTGCCACCTTCGCTGGTTCCATACTGAAGATCGAATGACCAGTCGGGCCGCCAGCCAGAAGGAATCGTCAACAAGGAACTCTGGGAAGGAACCAATCAAGAGTTTCTCGCTCAAAAAATATGTAGGAAAAAATGGAGATGGATCGGGTACACTCTGAGGAGAGTGTCAAATGACATCATGCGCAATGCAGGTTACCACCCTGGTGAAATTCCAGGGGGAAGCGACAAGTTGGGTATAAGCCTGAATGTGGTATGAGGGTGTAGTGACAGCAGGAGATCAGCGACAACTAGCAATCGTAGAACCATCTAAGGAGGACTTTATGGAATAGAACGAAGTCAACACATGCTTCTGAAGCCCTATGCTTCACATGGAACCCAAGCAAGCAGTAATAATTACAGTTCTTCTCCTGCCTAAACTTCTGTCAGGTATCATTTACCGTCGAGGAAGGCGATGGCTAGTCATGCGTCACGCATGTCTTAGCCGCCTAAATCCATATAGCTTCACCATCTGATCGATTGACTTTCACTCCTTACCTAACACACGATGCCTGACCTCAATATTACTCATCTGTAGCCTGTAGACAACATTTATCTCTATACATAGTCTTCAGACAGTAATGGTTTTCCATTGAGAATTAAACCAAATAAACATCATTCCAAAGACCACAAGAGGTGTTTTCCGTGTCTCAGTAGCTTATTTATGGCGGCTTAGGGTTTAAAACGATGGACACAGGGTTCAAGTGTCAATGAGAACACACTCACTGGGCAAGGTTAGGGTTAGGGTATCTCCTTAAAACGAGTCTAGACCGGGATAAAGTGTGAACATTTGATTCACATTTAAATATGAAAAACCAGATAAATTCCAAACACTTAAGACAAGCATATAACAGAAGTGAACAAAAAGACGAAAACTACTAATGTCGGATTTGTTTGTTTATTCAGACCAAAATAGAAATCAATACAGTAGTAGGTCACACAGTAGTCAGTTAGTCTTTATTAATAACAATGAGGTTATATTTCTTTTCAATATTTGGTGTATACTGCCATTAGCGTTATTCCTGTTTTACTTAAATGTACATTGCATAAATCAACCTGGAGAGAACAAACGACCACAACGAACAGGATATTGCAAACTTAAGAATTGTAGATACGCATTGCTTAGGCAAGCAGCAGTAGCTTATCCTTCACGTTTATACAAATCATAGATTTCATGGAGAAGGCATCTGCCAATTCACCTGCTCGTGTGAAGCCAGGTATGTTGGCCGTACCCAGTGTTCGCTATCCAAACGTATCACCGAACACTTACCAGCATGGTTTTACAAAGGAGAGAAACGATGCCCCGTAGCTCCATCATAGAACACCTGATAGTTTTCGGACACCAAGCGACATCCCAAACAAACTTCAAAGTCGTCTACAGAATACGAAACAGTCTCCCTGAAAGTGTAGTGTACGAGTCAAACTTCTTCAAACTGCAGAAGCAATAGCAATTCACTTGCTTCGCCCTGAACTCTGCATACAGAAGAAGTTTGTTCAATCGCTAAACTTGCAACGGAAGTAGTATTTCGTAATATTTTAACTTCTAGTTTTACTTTTGAAGCACTACTGAGTAATTATGATAATTATACCATACACTAGCTGATGCTTACTAGCGACTGGCCTTATTCAGACAGTTACCTGGGTTATGGTGGGATGCCATGACCAAGAGTGTAAGGCAGGCCGAAGGTGAGGACAGTTAACCAACAAAGATATTGCTTAGTGGTCGCGCTGTGTCGTGAACTGGAAGAATTTGGAATTCATGGGATATTGGATTTGGTCCCAGTGGCTTAATGGTTTACGAACTAGCTCGCCTTGTAACCAGAAGGGCCTGTGTTCGAAACCTTGAGGAATGTGTGCACTGAGGAAGAGTCCCAAATCAGGCGTACAAAACGGCTATCCAGTACTCCCAAGTGGTTTTCCAATGGTTCTCTGACTAATGTCAGCTGATGATGAAATCCTTCTACTAATCAAGGAATAGATCCCTATGAATCAATACCTGAAAATATTACTCAACGATAGACTACTATACTCTTTTAGTAAATATAAACACGACTGTTCAGCCTCTGAAGATGATTTCATCGATGAAGAAAATTTTCTTGTCTTAAACTTTCTTGTAAAAATAATTCACAAATCAACCAGTTATACGACAGCATTATCACTGAGTTGACAAGTAATGGACAGTGTATATAAATCAAAGCTTAATAAAGTCATAAAAATAACCAAACAGTTGATAAATTAACACTGTTTATTCATACAGTGAAAATGGTGAACATCAAGATTATGAATAATTATCGTAATAAATTAAGGGTAAGATAAAGAAAGACGAATAAGTTACATTTTAAACGTTTGCGTAGGCAGTAATTAAACTGCGCAGTGAATACATTTTCTTCTCTAAATACGATAAATGTTCAATTGTTGGTTTGCAGGGATTCAATTACGCTAAATCGGAGGTGTCAGAAGTTGGAATTCATGGACCCAACCATGAGGTCGGATCTTAGTGGCTGAATGGTCTGTGGCGTCATCTTGTATCTTGAAGCTCTCAGGTTCAAACTTGGTGAATACGTATTAATGAACAGTATAAAACTAAGGTGAGACAGCTGTCCAGTACTCCCTGTTGCTTTTACAGTGGTTCTCCTATCGATGTCGGCTCATAATGTAATCCCGAAACGAGAAGCATTGTTATTACTATTATTTCCTTGGTTTTTGAGTGGAACATTTCATACTGTTCTCTGTACTCTTTTTTAACTGGCTCCACACAATTCCCGCAAGCCTTCATTTCATCATCACACAGTTGCTCCATATCATCGTCGAACACCTTCCTAACTTGTCAACTACCACTGGGATCCCACTTGGGCGATGAACTGACTCGTGATGTCACTCAATGATATCCTCATCATGTCTGCGATCCATCACCATTTTATTCTACAAATATATTGGGCAATAATTTCTTGGTTCGGTCACTCCCTGACTAAGGTTCTAGCTATTTACTCTTTCTGGCCGGACGCCTGATCTATAGTTTTGAGCTGGGAAAGGCAGCTGTTGATAAAAGTCTGCACTGGCCTGTTAGAAATGCACTTTTGTGACTCACCAAGTCTCTCAACCATATAGAAGAAGTGATCTGAATCTTTGTTCTGAGTGCAGACGATTTCCAATCTGATTCCAGAGTGATGGTTTGTCTTGGCTTTCCCATTTTTGTTATGACTTCCTCATTCATGTCATCTGTAGTTGAAATGGTGCTTCCTAGTCACATAAGTGAAGAATGTGACCTATTTCAAAATTTCTTCCCGTTGGTGGTGATTGGTGCCTGCTGTTGCTGGTCAGCTGTCTTCATCAACTGTGTCGTCTCTATGTTCGCTTGAAGTCTTGTATTCTCTGTCCGTTAGCCTTTTCTGACAAATTGTTGGTTTTCAACAGTGAGTCGTCGAGTTTATATGATACGAACAGAAACCATTCACAAAGTGTAAATCTTCTAGAGTATTCTTGTCAACTCAACCTAATCCTGTCTTCTCGCCACCTATAACCTACTGAATGATCGAGTCCATGACAGTGTGAAATATTATTATCGGTAACGGTAAACAGCTTTGTCTGACTCCTGTATTCGCTTCAAACGCTTCGTCATTGTTGAATGAGGCTGATAAAGGTTTGCAGCGATCCACCCCGTAGTGTTGAGGCGGTTTCCAATACTTTGCCCTGAGTGCTGACGAATGCCTTTTTACAAAGTTGATGAAGCTAAGGTACAGGATTGACTTCTACTCTATGCTGATGCGTAGTTTTGAATATTCCCACTGAAGTACATCGCACTTATCAAGGTTACTTCAGCACATGTTTGTGTTAACAAGGTCTTTGAAAGCAGACAATCTATACAGGCTAAAATTCATACAATCACCTGCGTAAATGTTATTCACAATAGCTACTTTCTGTAATTGTACTTATATATATATATTCTCTAGTATATCATGAAACTTGTTTATTTTCGTGCTTTTCATTCCATGCATTCAATATACCTCTTTCTGTTAGCTATAAAATGAAATGAAATAAATAAAGCTATTTAGGACATCCAATCGTATTATGTGGAATAGGTCTCATTTATACTGTTTGAGGCGTTACCTTTTATCCTCCTCTATTTTCTGAAATGCATATATATACATATTCATATATACATCAGATAAAACTCTTCACTATTCGTTTCATTTCACTGTTTTTTTTAAACTGTTAAAATACACTTTTTAATTTAATCGAAAATTACATTTTACAGAAATATAAAGTTCATGCAACACTGCCCACAACAACTTACTACAACAACAACTACCTCTACTACTAATGCGACTTTCCAGAGCACCTTATCTTCGAATTCCTGAATAGATAACTCCTTCAAAAGGACTTTAGTTATTTGTCAATGTAAGCGATGAAAAACGCTACAAAAAAGAATGAATTGAACAACTTGATAATGCCTAATAATTAAATCTACATTAATTTTTGACGCTTACATCAGTGTGTATTTAAACAAAAATTAAAGCGGGTCTAACAAAAATAATTTTTTCTAAAAAAATTATGCCATTTGTTATAAAACATTTATTTTATTCATTTATATGCTTATTTTCTCTACTAAATGGTCAAAATCAGAGTCAGTTCTATTCTTTACGATTATTTATTTTAATTCCTTCTGATGGTTGTCTATCACCAAATGGATTATTTGATTTCACCGCCAGTATTCAAGATTCAATTAGCTTAAATACACAAACAACAGTCAATTGGGCATTGAACAATAATAGTATTGAACAGTATTTAATTCCCCTGTCAGAATGTAAATTAACCAATTCAACATTTAATACTTTATTAACAACACATTCTAAAGCTCAACAACTTGCTAATACAATAAGCTTAAATAATATTTATTACACTGTCATTGTAGGACCTTATAATCTTGGTTTATGCGATCAAATGAATCAGTTAGTATTGATACCATATATGGATTGTATGAAACCACGTAGTACTTATGTTTATCATACAAGTTTCCAGTGTCCTCCAAGACGGATAACTTACCAGTTGAATTTACTGCCTAATACGACGATGAATTGTTTCAATACAACAAATCGGAATTATCATGATTTTACAAATATTGCTAGTTTACATATCGGTGCTAGTAAATATCAAGTATCGTTGGCTTTAGTAAAAATTTTAAAACATTTAAATCGACTGGATGTTTTAATCGTTTATCAAGACGATGACGACATAAACGATCAGTCGGGAGTATTTGCTAATTATCTGGCCTATTTAATGACCCAGGCTGGGGATTCTAGGATTACAATTAGAGAAATTCATGGTTGGCATGTAGGTAAAAACGTTTCAAGTGTACTACGCATAGGAAGTGTAAATTATTCGGGTAAGTGGTGGAATAATAATAATAATAGTAATGCTGTTTTTGGCCTAGTTTCTATTTTTTGGTATTACTGGCAGGTTTACGGAGTCTTTAATCACAAAATTTTGAGTTAATCAGAGTACGGATTAGGCAAGAAGGCCTAATTCACAGTATAAAATGGCATCATTCTATTTCAAGCTTGATCAGGGAGTGAGGGCAGTTGGAGAACCGTTGAAAACCGGCCAGGAGCCACTGGACAACAGGCCGTTTCGCCCTAGTTTAGGACTTATCGGCAGTACGCACTCGGGGCATTCTGGTTACAAAACAAGCTCGTTTACCAATCAGCCACCACTATTCAACTTATTGGCCACCTCATGAATTCTAACACCTATCAATTTGTGCCTTGTAGACGGAAGGTCCTAATTTCGAACCCTGGTGGTGGATACGTACTGTCGATGAGTCCGTCAGCAAGCCTGAAATAAATTAATTTACCTCAAATAAACTCTTGACGAGTTCTCATCAACTGTACGCCACTACCAGCAATCACAGTGGTTATAATAGAATGAAAGTGACATACTTCAAAGTTTTAAAATGGTAGTACAGAAAATGTTTTATTAATAAAAATTAACGCATCCAAAATGTCAACATTACAACTGCTTTTTTGAGTTTAGTGTGCGTCGGTGGCACAGTGGTTAGGACTCTTGCCGATCATGCACATGGTCGGAGGTTCGATTCTCGGCCAACGCACACCTGATCATCTATGGTTGGCTTGCAGAATTTGGACTACCGATGATATCACATGCTGAAAATTCCATACCTGTACCAAAATATAGAGTGTAGAATCAAGCTGTAATCAAAAAGTTATCATCAGTTTAAATTCCTTTCAACGCAAATAAAGGAGGGTTGAAGGATGCGAAGACAGGAAACGGAAAGATCCAATAAACAGTGCTTGTAAGCTTAAAAGTTTACATGGAAATTCAAGATGGTTACATAGTTCATCATAATGAAATTTGCTCAGTGAGCTGAAATCACTAGTATGGTTAACTAATCAATGCAATCAAAATACAGTTACCAAATTTAATCACGCTCTCTTTCTGTAATCATAAGTTTAGTTTGAAACGTTTGATGGCAATCGCTTCGGTAAATCGTAGTGAATTTGTTGTCTATTGTATGCTGAATATACTTTGAAGGATTTCGAAATCTCATATCTTAAAATGCCCTTTATTCGATAGGTGTCTGACCACAGTTTCCTTGAAATATACTCAGAAAACAAGGTAGAAGCTTTTCTTTCTGCCTGTTCAGTGTGCTTGCCACCACAAATGTATGTAAATTTATAAGCTCAATTGAAGGTGACATCAGTAGAATATTTATCCAGTTGACTTCTTAAGCACATGGTGGTGTAGAGTACTGAGAGCTTACCTGAAAGAAGAACACTTTTTACTGCTACTTTCATTTGTTTTGTGCGTTCTTCGTAATACACCGTCTGCTTTGAATAGCAGATTAATTCAGTCTTCCTTGCTTTAACGTAAACGAAACAGGTATTTCAGAGAAGAGGCCCTTTTAGGCGAATTCATTTTCCACTCCTTCTGTGTAATCGAATTTATGTACAATCTTTTCGTGGATGAGAGTAATAACAAAAGTGATGAGTTGTGACAATCATAGTTGTTAGTATTAGTGAATGCCTAAATGGAGCTGAATAAGTGTGTTCGGGTCACGTGATAGGATAAATGAGCTAATCAAGAACTCATTGATCAACAGTTGTGTAGGCGAAAATAGAGATGGACTGATCGTGCAAATGCCACTGAGGAGGCCATCGAATAGCATCGCGTGTTTTGCTCGCCATTGCTCAAGTGGTATCCCGATGTGAAGCGATGAGTGGGCGGTTGATGCGAGGGTGACATGGAGGAGATCGTGCGAGTTGGAATAGATGAGAAATTATAGTCATTCATGGACCCAGCTGAAAAGGACCGTAGAAAATAGAATAAAAGTGGAGATGTGTTGTTGATGCCCTAGGTTCCACTTGGAACCCAAAGGAATAATAATAATTATGTATGTGCAGCTTCTGAGAATGAAATCGCCGAAAAGATATCTTTGCTGAACTTCTAGCTCATGTATTGATTGGAACACTTTGCCACCTACAATCAGACCTTTTTTCAAGTTTAGTAGGGACTTGCGAAACAAAAGCTTATAAACATTTTAATTACGCATAGTAGCAAATAATACCAATGGAGATCATATTTTAGCCGATTAAAACAAACCAAACGAGAGAAAATATATGCAATAGAGAGAGAGAGAGAGAAGATTTTGGTAGCCTGTTTTAAACAGGCAGCTGTGAAGAATGAAACACACATATTTCTCTGCTGTACTCAGTTATTTTTTTTACTTTAACTGACAGGTGTGTTACAGATCCGATTTATCTCATCATGATTCCTGAAATTCATCTGAAACTTTCAGTTTGTGTATGCTATCACTAGGACACAAAACTTCAGATACGTTCATCAAATAGCAGCTCTAGGTTTTTATCACCTAATCACATCAAATTAAGGCATCATTTACAGGGGATAAGTTTAGATTGTCGACCATCAGTAAGCTAGCGCTATCCAGTGAGGCTAGTACTTAATAGTTATTAAAACCTTTTAGATTAGCACTGCATTGTAGACAATTACCATATTTACAGGTTTGATCACCAGCTGCCATCATTTGCAAAACCAGGGAGTACTGGACGGTTGCTCTTTCCTACTTTGAAATTCGTCAACAGGATACACCGATCTCCAGGGTTCGAACCCAGGAGCATCTGATTACAAAATGAGCTGGTAGACCACTTAGCCACTAGATCCTTGGTCCGAATTTGAATCCTGGAGGCTTTTTACCGATGTGGAGTCAAAAACAAGGATGAAGCAGGCGGCCAGTAATCCTTGCTATTCCAAATGGTCCTGTAACTAGTTTCTGCTCATGATTAAAACTGAGACCAACCAAATCCCGCGAAAGAAAACTTTAAAAACGCAAAAGCTTTCTTCTAATCAACAAAACGATAAAAGAATAAAATAAGTTCTAAGTTGAATGTGACGGAAATGCTCGACTAATTCTTGTTACAAACCTTTTTTGCAGTCGATTAGTAACTTTTTGAAAAGAAAGTTGCTAAGGAATGAAGCCTTGACTAATTCTACTTATATAAAAAGATGAAATCTTATAATATATTTGGAGCTCATTCATCAGGATTCACAAGCAGTATTATCATGTGAATGCACTTTAATAACAAACATATTTAACTGTTTAACAGACAAGTGAGCACTGACTTTTCACTGTGAGTTAGCCACAGTTTCTACTTTTCAAAACAGTATTCATATATTCAAGTGTTGATTCACAGGGATTTGATCGGCTATACGTTTGATCACTATCTGATGAGAACGACTGGAAAACTAAAGAGTGATGAACAGCTGTATTTCCCCAGTTTGATACACTTTGGCAGTACGGTGGTTCCCGCCAAGACAGGTAAGAGGACAGTTGTCCACCTATGACGGTGACTGGGGATTGCGCTGGATACTGTCCCAGTGGCTGAATGGTCTACGAGCTCACTTTGAAACCAGAAGGTTCTGTGTTCCAACCTTTAAAGGATCACAAGTCAAGAAGAAATAACTAGTCGCATTTATTAAACTGGTTAATAACAGCATGAAAGAAGATCTTTGGCAATAGTTTCATGATTTTCACAATTTTCAAGGGTGGAAATATACAGGATGTATTTAGTTATTTTCATGAAATTTACGGACTAACTAGTCTAAATATGAAAATAATTGATTCCCGTGGTTTATTCATGGTCTTCACTAAAGTTCTTCCTATTATAAGTAATTGAATACTTTGATGGTGACTAGTAGTGGAAATCCAGGACGCGACTTTCGTCCTATTCGGGACTCGTCAGCCTGACGTACCTGCAGTCCCTAGTGAGTGATGATATTTACTTTGGGACTGGAACCTAGTACCCTTGGCTTCAAACTTCAAAGCGCTATGCACTAGGCCAACTGGTCTATGAGAGTCACCTCCTGTGTAACTGGTATCAGTCAGCGGGAAAATCAAATTGACTCAGAAAAAATATGAAGTCTTCATTTGGTTTGTTCACTTTGTCCTAAGGAAATCTCTTTCAAGGAGTTTCTCGTCAAGTTGAAGCTATGGTTAGGAGATGTGTCAGTGTATTGTTTTACCGCGGTCACCAGTGTTTTTAGTGCTGTAATTCTTTACAAAGCTACAGACTCCTTCGTACATCAAATAAAAAACTCAAAAGTCGGTCCCAAAGAGTGTGACTACTACACTCGAAGGGAGGAAACCCTGTAAGAATAGAATTCAGGCGACGAGTCGGTGGCACATCGGTTAGGACGCTCGTCGACCTTGCACGTGGTCCGGGGTTGGATCCTCGACCGAAGCACTCATTTACCTCGCTAAGCCAGAAATAATGCTGGTAAAGATGAAAGGTTAGGCATGAGGCTAGCAACCCCATGGTGTAAAGTAAACACTCCTACAGAAACTTCAAGCTACTAGCTTGAAGACCTATGTTTTACGGGGAATGTGAAGGAAAACATGGGTTAAGATAGAATTCCACATTACATCAGTTAATGTAGTATAACCGACTGTGATAAGGGGTTAGTAAGTGAATAGCGTTATTAGATGGTTAGAGGCGACAAGCAGGTAGCATTCGACCTACGTTTTGCACTTGTTCACATGCGTCATCGAGGTGTGTCTGCAGTTATGGAGCAATTCATCTCCTTTCTGAGATCCAAAACCATGTCACACACTACTGTAGTCGGAGACATAACCACCAAGCTATTTCGACTCACTATTGACCACCTGTAGGACTGTGTTTGGCGGCCCATGGGTAGGATACTGGCCAACCAAGCCTCACGTAGTCCGGGATTCGATTCTCGCCCGACGCACTCCTTAACCTCGCGTAGCCGGAGTTGGTCCTACTAGAGAGTGAAGACTGAAGACGAGGCTAGCCACCCTATCCAGTCAAATGACAACACCACCGCTGATGG